GCTCTGCCCACTACGGGTATCGAAACCCGATTTCTAGCGTTCTATGTCCGCAGAAATACCGCTGTGCCACTGGGGGCGAAATTGATACTAATTTGCTGTTTATTTATATTAGCATAAAACACAGATTATTCTTATAGAATCCAACTTAGAGGACAAAACTGCAGCTTACGTGATTTTTATTATAAATATTAGGCCTCCCATCATTCAACCCAACTTAAAAAGGTCTGGTACTGTACGAAAGGTCTCTTGGGCAGTGACTTGTGGGAGACAAAAGATTGAACTAAAGTGCTATTTTTACACGCCTCTAATTTGAAATACGATATGGACGCAAATCATAGGAATATGAATACAATGTCTGTAGTTAACGTGACTTTTATCACAAATCTTAGGCCTGTTATTTCCACTGTTAAGTGCACTATAATGCTACACGTCGACATTAGATATAGCAAGTATAGTGTGGTTGACATATTGGTTGTGGGTTTAGTAGAATATTGCTTATTTTTCAAAATATTTTACCAAGAGCCGCAGTCGTCTCAGAATTATATTACTTTCTCGTGATGAATGCGTGCTGAAGTCGGAGAATGCTAAAATAACAACAATTCTATTTGTAAATTACTTTATCTAACCATTTTATAACATTCATTGCGAAGAGCTTAATATTACTTGAAAATAAGGCTGAGCAATATTAATTTAAATGGTGGTGTATTTAACTTGTATATTCATAATTAACACTGCTAATACAACAAAACGTTTACTCCGTTCAAGATCTTCAATTTTAAAGTGTTTTGTTTTGCTTCAATTGTGCAATGCAGTTTTAATTGAGGGAGAATTTTTCACGGTAATCTTACTTCTGCGTTGAATAAAAAATATAATAAAAATAGTGAAAGGTTAACTATTTTAAATGTAAGTTACAAAACCAATTATATTTGTTTCTTAAAAGTAATTCTTAAGCAAGTAACGTCACACAGCGTTGCTATAGTACTTATCCACCAGCCTTTACAAGTCTCAAGTGAAATATAATCATTTGACGTTTTTTTTCCTGTTTTCTATCATCATTTGTAAATCATCAAATGAACAATAACAAACGAAATTTATTGTAAATTGTTTTCTTAAACGCTATCATTAAAATTGTAGAAAGTAATGTTTTGAAATGAATCCAGCAGATGGCGCGCAACAATGGCAAGTATCATCAAGAGAGAAATGCAAGTTCAATTCTCTTTCTATTTTTTTTCTTATATTGTGTTTTATGTATTTGTAGAATTTCCTTTAAATTTTAACGTAATTTGATAATGCAGCAGATATGGTGAGATTCCCTGACTCTTGGAAACAAACAAAAATGGGCAATTTCATGTACCAATTTGTTAAACAATATAGATCAAGTTAACATAATGTCACTTTGTGCACATTTCGATAAGAAATTTACATACCATGGTTAAAATTAAAACATATCTATATATTTACATATACAGACATACATATATACATATTTTTTTCTAGTTATGTCATTTTTAATAATATTGCCAATATTTGAGAAAAAGAAAAACTTAATGCATATCAGAGGATCATGTTTAAGAATACATAAAAACTACATTTGAGTTGACCTCAATTTGTATCATACACCAATATACTTAATGAATATCAAGGGCCAAAATATATCTACTGATTTTGTTAATTTTTTTTTTTTTGCTATAAAATTTTCCAAATTCTAACCTTGTGACCTTTCCTTTTATCATCTTCAGAATATAGCACAAATAAATCAGAGACATTTATCCAGTTATCGATCACCCACATAATCTTGTATTATATCAGTAAATAGACGAATACAAGCTGTGAAATTCTTCCGTTTTGCTTTAATGTTCATAATATATCTGTTAGTTGATATTGTTGGCCGAGAATACAACAGCACATAAGATTTGATTTGATTTTTTGGCAGTGGCTACTCAAGGAAGATCTGGCCCTTATAACCCTTCAAACTATTCTGTTCCTTTGTTATTATTCTTGCTCATTTATCCAAGGTCAGCTATACAAATCCTGTGGGTGAAGGAACCGGAAAAATTGGTTGTTAAGTCACGTGATCTCGAGAGCGGGCTAATCTACATACGGCCCTCGGACAAAGTTGCTCAAGAACGCATTCGAGACAAAGGGAAGTGGACATACGGATATGTGCATTAGAAAACGCTAACTACGAAGAAATCACAGTAATGGTATGTTTCATTAGTTTTAATCCTAATGAATGTTACGCTAAATAAAAGTATGCTATGTATTTTGTAAGAAACATATTATGCCATACTATTACTACGTGCCTGCTTGAAAATGAAATAGCTTCTTTACGTTTTTGTTGTTCAAACACCGTGCGGTAGGGGCTCTTTTTTTATTTCTTCAAGCTCGAGCGGCATGAAGGAAAAATGAAACCAAGAAAAAAAATATCGGCTAATCTCACGCAATTTGCTCTCCATAACATGATAACACTGTAGTCTTAGTACCACGTGTTTTGCGGGATGAAGGTTTTGTTTTTGTGAAAAGGAAGCCATCGTTCACGTCGGCAGCAAGGCAAGGGCAAGCCCTGTCGCCTTCGGGGTCGGTTGACTCTGTTCCTAATGACAGCCATGACAGCTGCTAAGCGCACGTGCTTAACTGTAAGGAAAGTAACTTGTGTTGGATATGATGACGTAAATATTACTATTGTTTTATCTCAGATCTACTATTTAAATTGTGTTTACGTAACTTTGACCATGACTGATTGTGTTGTTCAAAATATATTTAGAAGGGTTTTTTTTTCACCTTTTAAAAGTTGTAATGAACTTTATATATATTTTAAAGAAAGTATCAAAATGATAATTGATATATAAAACTCAACAGTTCTTTTTTTTTATTTCACTTTTCCCAAGAATGGGTGTGAAAGGACAGCCTTAAGGGACCAAAAAATCCGTTGGTTAAGTCATGTTAATTGGTGTGTATAATCGATTTCATTCTCGAACTATTAATTACTGCCAACTACAACTTTTTATTTGCATTTTACTGTGTTGTTTGTTTTACCTTCACAAAAATATATTTCCAACAACTAAAGTACACGTGATATGACGTATATGTTATCATACTATATATACGATTTCTTTATTCTGATATTGCAACTCAACTTTTTTTTTAGTTTTTATATCGATTTGAGGCGCTGCTTGATGAAGGTTCTTGGCACGAAATGTCACAATTTCAAAATAAATTTAGTGTTTTTTCCAACTGATTTTTATTTTTAAACAAGTAACTATTTCAATTATGCTGTGTTATCTACGCAGATCATTTTCAGCGTATTTTTGTTTATGAATCAATCATCCTGTTAGAAAAAAATAGAACTGTCAACCGGAATAATCTGTAGGAAGACCTTGTCAAACAAAATTTTTATTTATTCATTTATGGGTAAATATGTTTAAAAATCTGTTTTAAGCTGATCGCCTGATGATGTTCAATAAACCTGGCGAAACAGTGTCAGAAAATAGAACTGTTAACTGGAATAATCTGTAGGAAGAACTTTGTCAAACAAAATTTTTATTTAGGCATTTATATGTTTAAAAACCTGGTTTAAGCTGGCCGCCTGATGATGTTAGATAAACCTAGCGAAACAGTGTCAGAAAAATAGAACTGTTAACTGGAATAATCTGTAGGAAGAACTTGTCAAACAAAATTTTTATTTATGCATTTATGGATAAATATGTTTAAAAACCTGTTTTAAGCTAGCCGCCAGATGATGTTAGATAAACCTTGCGAAACCCCTAAAAAAAGAATTCTTAACAGCAACCGATTTTCTAAATCTGAAACTCGTGTCATCTAATACTGTAATTTTCAGATTATAGCAATCAGAGGCCTTTATCCTATGAATCACCAGGATAATCGTGTAAATTTCAACAAGATCACTTCTTAACCATCTTTTCTGAAAATAAATTGAAATATATTAACCTATCTCTATAAGATGATCCTTCTATCAGTAGAATAATCATCCTAATAGTTCTCCTCTGAACCATTTTCAGTAATTCAATATCCTTTTAGATAAAGAGGCAAAACATTTACAGGTACTTCAAGTGAAACCTAACTATGATTTGTGCAGATAGCTATTTGTTTATTTTGATATTTAATCAACATGTATAACTACACCCTAAAACCCTGTTTAACTTGCCAATTGATTCAAGCTATTCTGTAATAACTCATCCTCAATACAGCTAGAAATACCCAAAAACTAATTTAGTAATTATGCTCCTATCAGTGTGATTAATGTAAATAAGGATAAAAAGCCCAAGTACAAACGCCTGAATACTTCATTAATAAGAAGGGTCCAGTATGACTAGACTCCATTAATAAGAAACTTTTACTACAGTCCCTTCCTCAAAAATAGATTTTTTTTTACTTTAGTGAGTCTGACCCCTAAGTAACTGCTGAAGAAGTAACCCCCCTCCAGTTTGGCAAATCTATGATCGCTTTCATTTTATAATATTTGATTAAATAATTTTCTAAAGTTTTTTATTCTTATTAGCAACCCTGACCTCATTATATAATTTCTCATTCTTTCTTTCTGATCAGGTGGTCTATAATAATTGCTAATAAAAACTTTTTACCCTTGAAACTTCTCATGGTAATCCATACAGATTCAACCTCTTGACTACCATATCTTGTCTTCAGTGGTAACAGGCTGCAGGTCTTCCTTAATATAAAAGGATACTACATATTATCTATCACTATTAAATAATATATAAGCTGGAATTTCAAAATAATTCTCATTTTATCATAAATTTTCCATTTCAGTTAGAACCCTAAAGTCATGCATTTTGTTCCTTATACTCCCAGCATCAGAATAGTGAAAACCAATTTTATTCTTGATCTTACAATGTTTGTCCTTAAATCTGACAGGCTGAATTTTCTAACTATCATTTAACTTTTTATACTCAGAAAGTTTCTTTTTCAAAACTCTTTCTTACTCTATTTATCCTATCAGTTTATTCCTGAGCTCCATCACCACCAATCAAATTTAGTTTCAGTTATATTTAATGAATAACTTTAGAACTTCCCCAAACATACTACTACCCAAATTGTTTGGGTGGAGCCCATCTCTAAACTAAAGTACAATTAACCCCTACATTGGAAACTATAATACGAATCTATTAAGCTTACATGTTGCTCTAAGCACACTCCTAATAGTTTTTTATGTAAGCCTTGAATTCTGTAATTCATTCCCACATCTAATACGAGTAAGCACTCCTATATTGTTTATTGTATGTAAGCACCTCTTTTGATTCACAAATTCCAACATCATTTGCTCCTACAAGCACTATAGGAAGTGTTTGAATTCCATCAGCATACATTAACTATTCTCCTTTGATTATTTTCGTCAACTTTTACCTCAAAGTTACAGTTGAATGTAAAATTAGAAAAAATTATTTCCTGGCGTAGAAACGTGCCCTAGTCCTTCATGTAAGCATAGTGTGTGAAAGTAAACGCATTTTGCTTAAAATTGTTGGGTATTTTTTTAATTACGCAGAGAGCATGTCTGTGCCTTACGAAATCGACCGATAAATAAAATAAACATGATGGGATAAGTAGGGCGGAGACCATCACCGCATTACTTCTAGAGTTGTCAAGTTCACTGTCGTAAAGATTGTTACTGTTAAGTGACTACGTGAAGTGTAGAGGAAACAACAAATAATGACCGTATTTTTTTAACAGATACAGCGAAATCGGTAATAAAGTATTCAATGTAAAATGAAATTATGATTTGCAAATATTTAAATGAAGGTCAGATTATTAATCTCAAAAATAAATTCCCTAGAGGACAAGGGGTGGTATTTAAAAATATTAATCAGATATATGTATATGCAAGATTACTCGTCACTTGGAGTTTAGCTTATGAAGACCTACATTTTTAATGTTAGTGTTAAATATATTTCGTAAAGTAACTTGGGAAATGGAAATCAGGAATACGAGTAACTGATTTTATAAGCTGTGTGCGATTAAGATTGAGCTGAACAAAATATGTTATAGTAAGACTTACATTGTGCTCGGACGTAATCGTGTTTTATATAGATATTCATGTTCTGTGCGTTATTTTATGATGTTCTAAACTTATCCAAGTGAAAAGTATTTGAAGTAAGTCTGTAATATTTTAAGCCGAAGTATCTTTTTTTTCTTTTTTTTTTTTGGCAGGAAAGATCAACTGACAGTTTAGTTTTAGCCAAATCAAGCAACATTCTTGCAGAAATAATGTACGCAGTCGAAAAACATGACTTCAGTTAAAACAAAAAAAAAGCTTGGTATGGTATAATAAAATCGTGGTTCCAAAATTATATGAAAGTGTTGTGGTATATATATGTTGTATCGCCATGAACGAAGAAAAATTATAGTAATTGTATTTTTGAGATATATATGTTTTGAATTTCGCGCAAAGCTACACCGTCCCTAATTTAGCAATGTAAAACTAGAGGAAAGGCAGTTAGTCTTTACCACCCACCACCAACTCTTGGGCTACTCTCTTACCAACGAATAGGAGGATTGACCGTCACATTATAACGCACCCACGGCTGAAAGGGCGAGCATGTTTGGTGGGACTGAGATTCGAACTTGCGACCCACACATTGCGAGTCGAGCGCCCTAACCACCTGGCCATACCGGACCTATATATATATATATATATAGTTGAATTTATACACACACACACACACACACGTGTCTATTGTCAAACTAGAACGATTTCAACTTGGGCTTCTTTCACTGTTATTGTAAATCTTGTTACGTTACTTATGAGGAAGGGGTATGGGTATAAGTAATGTTTTACTTGTTGCTGAACCTACATATTTTAACTCCAAAACTGATAACTTGCAAAGATTCTTGATATCAGTTAAATGGAAATTTTGGTAGAACCCCTAAATATGTAGAAATTGAGTACGTTATTTAAAATGATTTTGGTGCTTCACTACTTCATTATAGTCCATGTCGCCACGTCTGGCTGGTCGTACTCTGTTTGACGACCGTGCATCTTGTCAATAGCTCCGCAACGTACTTTCCGATGGAAAAGGCTCTATCGTAAATCTTTCATGTCCAGAACACACTAATCCTCCCTGAACGTCTTCCATTATCCAACTAAATTACGAGGGCGACAGTTTCCCAGCGCTCATTTCAAAAGTCCGAGCACACACAAATCCATAGGCGCTGCGTTAATCGTTCTTAT